AGAGCTCTTTGTTCATAATTTGATCAATAACTGTACATTCATAATTCCATACTGTAGATTCATAATCTCATAACTGTAGATTCATAACTCCATAACTGTAGATTCATAACTCTATAACTGTACATTCATAACTCCATAACTGTACATTCATAATCTTCGAAGCTCTATATTCACAATTTTAAAGCTCCATGGTCATAATTTTATCACTATATATGTTCATAATTGTAAGTTCATAATGTTAGAGCTCTGTGTTCATAATTTCATAATTGCATAACTGTATATTCATAACGGCATAACTGTACATTCATAACGGCATAACTGTACATTCATAATCCAAAAAAAAAAAAAAAAAAAAATAACGCCGTTAACGGCAAAACGCGCGCGATTTTTTTTTTTTTTTAACTAAATGACTTTTTTTTTTTAAAAAAACGACGTCGTTTTGGGCCCGTGTCCACAATTCAATGTGGACACGGGTCCAGGGCATAATTTGCCCTCATGCCTCAAGTACTACTAACAAGCTCAGACCTAATGATTGATTTTTTTCCAACCTAGTCTATTTCCTTCTCTAAATATAATTCCCCCAAACTTTACTGAATAATGGAAGCATATTCCTAATAAATATTCCATCTTTGTAGCAGCAACCATAGAATATACCCCAATGCCACCCCTCCACTTTTACTCCAAACCCACCATTTCCACATACTTCTTCTCTCTCAACGCCAAAAATCCATTCCCCCAACTCTCCTATCTGCCATTCAAAATGTTTTCTAAGGTAACTATTTTACTCCATGTTATTGTTATATTATTATCATTGTAGTGTGTGTGTGTTTTTTTTTTTTTTTTTTTTTTTTTTTTATCTTTTTCGATACGATCTTACATTGATTTCACGTGAAATTATAGAATAATACTTAACATTTAATTTTTTTTTTTTACTCCCGTTGGACTAATCTTTATATGTTATGTTCTTTCTTTAAATTTGAGCCCCTATCGTTTTTCAATTTATTCTTAAATTTGTATTTATTCAATGTACATAACAAATCATTCCAAGTTTTACTCCAAAAAAATAAATACTTAGTAATAGATAAACTGTGCACATCCATACATATATAAAGTGAACTAAACAAAAATTTTAAAATATAATTTATGATATGAATTATTGAAATCATATTGGTAATAGTTCTTGTTTTCACAAGCTTTAGTTAGTTGTCAGTAATAGATATGGAGATGAAATAAAATTAAGCAATTATAGTTCATTTCGTCATATGCAATGGATGAGATCATGAGAATATGATGTTTCAGATGTAATCATTAATTTAATCTTTATATTAATATTGCCAAATTTCTAAATTATACAAGTGGTTTTTTATACATAAATTATGAACACTGTAAAATAATTGAAAATGGTTTAGTGGCATATGAATTAGTTAGTTTTAACTTTTTCTTCATAGACAATCATGGTTGTTTTATTTTTTATTTGATTGTGAAAAGAAAATATATGTACACATGAAATTCATGTGGGCAATAATTAGTGATGACAAATTGACAATTGTAATCTACTCTGCAAGTATTCACTCAAACTTGATCCTATACGAGTGTATAATTTATTTTTAAAATGATAGTGGATGGTGAATCAGGAGTAATACTATAAAAGCATGTCGGCGGGGTGGTGCCGTCACTTTGGTGGACTGACCCGTCAAAATCTATAAAATTTTAAGTTTAATTAAAAATTAATTTTAAAATCTAATAATTGTATACTAAAATAGTTTAGATAGTTTAAACAAACATTAATATTATTTGTTAAGCAAATAATAACTAATAAGTTAAAAAGAAAAAGAAGATAATCCATAAAACTAAAAGTGTGTGTGTGTATGGGCATGGCAGGGCCCAGCCTACCACTTTGGGCAAATTATGCCGTGGAATTGTGTCCACCTTGCAAAGTGGACAAGGTTTCGAAATTGTTCAGAATTATGAATATACAATTCAAATTATGAACATATAGTTTTATAATTATGAGCACAGAGTTGTGAACATATAGTTCTATAATTATGAATATAGAGATTCAATAATTGTGAAAATGAAATCCAAAAATTATGAATATATAACTTTATAACTATGAACATATAGTTTAGTAATTATGAACATATATTTTATGGAAAATGAGTAGAATTTGTATAATTAAACATTTTGGCGGAAAAGCTTCATTTTCCCCAGTCAACAGAAAATGTTTTCCGTTGGCTGGATTTTCCTGTTACATCCAAACACTGAAAACTCGGAAAACATTTTCTAGAAGTCATTTTCCAGGTTTCCAAACGGATCCTAAGTTGTTAACGTTGTCAATAAGTGCATCATGTTTAATAATATTCATCATACACTATGTTCATAGTATTTGCTCTATATGATCATAAACATAAACCCTAATGTACATAAACATTAAAGTGCAGGTACATCATATATATTTCTATTCACTCTGTAGTAGATTCATAACGTTCCTTCTATGTCTTCATAAAAACAAAGCTTAATGTATGTAAACTTTACACTATAGGTGTATCATATTTAATAATATTGATTATGAGGTATGTTTATAATATTTGTTTTATATGATCATAAATATATACCTTAATGCACATAAATAGCATGTACATCATATATATTTAATTAATTTCATTCACTCTATAGTAAATTTATAATGTCTATTCTATATGTTCATAAAAATAAATTTTAATGTACATAAACAATACACTACATGTGCATCATAACTATATTGTTTGGTGAAGAGTACTAATGGTGACTAACCATACTACATTAAAACGATATTCTTTTAGATCAAAATTCTCATGGATGAGTTTTCTCTTTAAATGGAGAGAGATAACCTAATTATATACGGAGTATTTTAGATTAGAATATTTTATAGGGAGGCAAATTATACCATGGATCATGACATTCAAATTATGTGTGTGCATTTTGCAGTTAACATATTATGTGTATGCAGTTAAAAAGTTATGTACTTATAGAGATGTCAAAATAGGCCAACAGGGCATGGCCTGCCAAAGTCTGCCATATGGCGGAGGCGGACTAAAAAGCTAGACAAAATACGGCTCTAAGCAAGGTCGGCTCACGAGCCTTATATGGGCCTGTCAAATTTGAAAATTTTAAATTAAATAAAAATTAATATGAAAAAATTAATAAGTGTATATTAAAATAATTTGGATAGTTTAAACATATATTAATGCATTTGTATGTTTTTTAAACACAAATGAAACTGTAGTTGAATTAAAATGATATTTTTTTTTGAATGCTTCTGACTCTATTACAATGTAGTAGTGGCGGACCCAGAAAATCATCTGAGTGAGGGCGAGGGCGAATATTAAATGAGGTTAGAAATGTCAATAACAAAATATCAAACAATCATAATAAAGTTAAAATATAAAATACATTATAAATTACAATATATTTATGAGAAAATATTAAACATAATCAATTAGAAAAAATAATTTGAATAACAATATATTCATAAATACTTTTAAATTTTAATTTCTTTTAGTTAGATCGAATTTTTTAAATTAATTTGAATATAATAAAGTATATTATAAACTTGTATACTACATTAATTAAATGATTTATAAAAACTAGACTAAAAGAACATTTAATTTGTTAATTAAATGATTCATAAAAAGTAGACTAAAAATATTTAATTTATCTTGTGAAGAAATGAAAGAGTGAAGATAATTAAAAGTGGTGCTAATGAGATTTGAACCCATGATATAAGCCTTTTATAACATAAAATTTAGAGTTCAACCAACTAAACTACTCAAACTATAGTTATTTTCATCATAAATATTGATTTTATATAATATTTCATGCTATATATGTGTGTATATATATATATATATATATATATATATATATATATATATATATAAAAAGGGGTGGGGTGGAGGGAGTGGGGGCAGCTGCCCCCACGCTGAGTCCGTCACTGAATGTAGTATCTGTTCATAACTACTTTCTCAACCTATGAGAGTGCAACCTTGGTGCCATTAGACCACAAGGTCTTGGCATTAAAATGATACTTTAATTGTGCTATAATAAAATTACAGTATGTATAAAATGAATCTGAGTAACAAGTGTCATATATTGAGTGTGTTTTGTCAATGAAACTATAGCTATATCAAAATGATACTTTAGTTATGTTGTAATAAAACTATAGCGTATATAAAATGAAACTGAATAACAAATTTCACATATTTGAGTGTATATTGTCCAATAAAATCGTAGTTTAGTTAGAATTATACTTTAGTGGTGTTGTAATAAAACTACTGTGTGTATAAAATGAAATTCAATAACAGGTCTCACATTTTGAGTGTATAATGTTAAATGAAGTTGTAGTTAAATCAAGATAATACTTTAATTGTGTAGTAATGAAACTATATTGTATATAAAATGAAACTAAATACGCCATTAAAAATAATTAGTTGAAGGGAATAGCTGTATTTAAAAGAATGACACCGTATTGGACCATTTTTTTTAGTATACTTAGGGTTTTCACTGTCGGACACCTTTTTTAGATGCTCCATTCTCAAAATCAATGATCGAACCCTTAACCTTTAGTTAAGGATGGATGAATCCATTCCACTTAACCACACCCTCCAGATTTCACAGTATTGGACCATGATCCAAGGTAAAAGTTGGCTTATGTGGAAGAGCAGGCCAAATATTTGTGATAGTTGTGGCCCATAATATCTTAGGTGGGTCACCATACTTTAGTGGTTCACCACTTCTTCACATCTATACGTGGAAGCTCATTAAAAAAATAAGTTGACGGCGACGTTTTGGAGAAATTGGCGCCGTCATTGGGAAATGCACTCAAAGGCCACAGATCTAACGAACGGCTGTCAAGTTGACGTTTCCCGTTATTCTTGGAGAAATCGAAAACGGAAAACCTACTCTGCTCCACTTCGATTTCCGTTACGCGTGCACCGAGCCTCAGGTTCGGTTCGGACGGAGTCTTCCCCTTTAAACATTCTAAAAAATTTCGGTCTCATTTTTCAATTTCAAAGCGGACACAGGCGAGACCGAAAAGACTGAAATATCCCCTGTTTCATCTCATCTCTTCCCATGGCCGATCACGCCGGAGACCACGATTCGCTTGCTGAGACGGTGATGGAAAAGATCAGCGACAAGTTGCAAGGCCACGATTCCTCGTCTTCCGATTCCGAGGACGATCATGCCGACAAGCCATCTGCCGACGCTGTTAAGGCCAAGATCTATCGCCTCTTCGGCCGCGAGAGACCCGTGCACAAGGTCTTAGGCGGAGGAAAACGTACGCTCAATATATCGCAAACCAATTTTCAACTATACTGCGTCTCTACATATGTACACATCATATATGCATACAGTTTAATGCAACTAGGGTTTACATTTTATGGTCATTACAATTTACAATTATAATAATAATAATAATTACAATGCGCTTAATTCTTATTCAGAATATCTGATTTCCCTTTAAAAAAAATGGTAACAGACATATTTTCAATGTTCGATGATGATAATTTGGTGATTGTTAATATTGCTCTTTGCCTAATTAGGCTTTTTGGTGTTGGCTCAGCGCCTATGTATTAGGGCATTCTTGTAGGTTTACTGTTTTTCTTTTATTATTTCTGGTTAAAATCCTCAGGAGAAGGATCTTGTCAGGGGATTCTTTGACCAGTTTGCATGTGTTATTTTTTTCTAAAACCAAAAGATGTCTTGAGTTGCATGAATTAATTGTGGAAGGAATAGTATACACTGTAGTTGCCTTGATAACACGGAAATTTACTGCACTTCTTTGTTTTCTTAGACTACAAGTATGTTTGGGCTTCATCCTAATTGTGTGGTTGTGCATAGTGTTCAATCACCAATGATGTTGAGGTTTCCATCTCTTTTGATCTTGTCAAAGTTTAGTGTAATAAGAAAACTGAATGGAGTAGAATCTTTTTAGCCAACCCCAACAAGATTTTGTTATTAAGGCTTAGATGAGTGAGTTTGATACAAATGCATTTGGGATTCATTTGAAAATATTAGGGGATTGACACTTGGAACTGTGGAAGTTGCTTTTGATCCATTGGAGCTAGTTTTGTTGTTGCACTTAGTCATCAATCCTCGGTAATGTTGTGGGTTATGATATATTTTGGTAATATCTCTTTTGGTCGCTAGTTTGCTACACATTTTCTGTTACAAGAAAACTGAATGGAGAAATAGAATCTGAGCCACTGACCCCAACTAGATTGGGGTTAAGTCTCGGTGAGTTTTAGTATTATATTTCTATCTGTGTGTTTGCAGCTGCTGATATTTTCCTGTGGAGGGACAAGAAAGTTTCTGGTGCTGTCGTTGGTTTTGCCACTACTATCTGGGTGCTTTTTGAATTGATGGAATACCACTTACTCACTCTAGTATGCCACATTTTGATTCTTGCTCTCGCAATATCATTCCTATGGTCAAATGCATCCACATTCATCAACAAGTATGCTCATTCTCCTTTTGATATGAGCATCCCCACATGTAGATTCATTTGAATGCTGACTTGTTGATTTTTGTACCAGATCCCCACCTCAAATCCCATCCGTCATCCTTCCTCAGGATACTGTCCTTAATGTTGCTTCTGCATTGAGAATTGAAATCAATAGAACTCTTGCTGTGCTCCGAGAAATTGCATCTGGGAAAGATGTGAAGAAATTTCTTGCTGTATGTTTTGCTTCTTTTTCTTTTTTAATTATAAATTTTAAATGCAGACAAGTTTTGTTCCTAAAACGTCCAGTAATTTACAATTATAGTCACTTCCATTGGCTGATCTGTTCTGATACGAGTCTTCTATGATTTTGCTTTGAGAAATTGACGGTATTCTATATGCAGGTAATTGCTGGCTTGTGGGTTTTGTCAGTCATGGGGAATAGTTTCAACTTCCTCACATTGTTTTACCTGAGTAATAACCCGCTTTTAGTTCGTTGTGTTTATGTTTACTATACTGTTTATCTCCAAGATTCTTATGGAAGTGTTGTGCCTTTTGCAAACAGTTGTTGTGCTGCTGCACACAGTTCCCATGCTGTATGAGAAATACGAAGATCAAGTCGATGCTTTTGCTGAGAAGGCCGAGGCAGAGATCATGAAGCAATATGCGGTGCTTAATGAAAAGTATCTGAGTAAAATTCCAAAAGGCCCCCTGAAAGACAAGAAGCTCGCCTAATAAGAGAGATGGTGTTTCACATTGAAGTTTCTTTCAAGATGTTGTGAGGATCTACTGTTTTAGAGCCGTCGTTTTATGGCTTTGTTTTGACTTGTAATGGTCTATAAGCAAGCTAAAAGTACTCTCATTTTATAAGTTTAGTTTTTCTTTGGAGATTTGTTTTGCCATGTTCTTGACAGCTTCATGGCTCTCAACAGCAGTGTATTCAGAGAGCAAGGTTCATCTTTTCCTCTGAAAATTAGTGCCTACGGTAGGTTTTGCTTTGCAAATGTTCTACATTCTGTTAATGAGAGAAAGTATCCTTGTTAATCTCTGTTTTTTTTTCCTGATCTTGAGATTTTGAGGAAAATTATTAAAGTATTTGAGAATCAAGGACTGTATCCATATAGTCCAGGGCAGGACTATGGAGAAATTCATTGATTTGGAGTAATTTTTAGTGTGAGGATTTTAAATCTTGTTAAACAAGGTATTAGGCTAATTGAATATACATACTTGAAATTTTAGCAAATATTATGTGTACCAAAATTTTTAGCAGTGACTAGAACTAGGGCTGTTAACGAACCGAACATAAACGAACGAAGGTTGTTCGTGTTCATTTGTTAAGGATTTTGAAGTGTTTGTGTTCGTGTTCGTTTGTTAAGGTTTATGAATGTGTTCGCTAACATTAACGAACACGTTCACGAACATGTTTGTTAACGATGAGGATTAGAAGTCTGAATCATTGTTCACAATGTATCGTACAAGAGAATATAGAGGACAAAGAAGAGTCCTAACATATCACAACTAGACTCCTAACATTAACAAGCACGTTCACGAACATGTTCGTTCATGTTGATAAACATGTTCGTGAATGCTTAATAACCAAACATATGAACATGTTCATGATCACAATTCGTTCGTGAATGATAAATAATCTATGTTCACAAAAAATAACTAAACAAGTAACACAATTACAAAGAGAATACAAACAAATATTAAACGAACACAAACGAGATTGGTTGCGAACATTGTTAAACGAACACTAAACGAGCTTGTTCACGATCTCTTAGCAAACGAGCTTACAACTGTTCAGACACCGTTCGTTTATAAACCGAGCTATAAATTTTGTTTGTTAATGTTCGTTTACCTTAATAAACGAACGTTTACCGAACACGAACACGAGTAGTTTACCGAAAGCTCTATTCTCTAACACCCCTAGCAGTGACTTTACATTAAGTAACTTAATATACGGTAACTAAAAAATTATAAGGAAAATGATATTTATAAGGAAAATGATATTTTTAGTCATTTTTTTTAAGGTAAAATATCTGCATTGCATTACTGAACGAACATAGTAATAGAGTCAGACGGGATCGAGTCTCAGTACATAGAGTGGTCCCAACTAATAGCTAAAGATGCTAAAGTATGAGCATGTAAATTCAATGTCCTAGGAATAAAACTCAATGAGCAATGATCAAATAACAACATAGATGTCCTACATTGGTCCGCGATGACCCCAACATAAGACAAGATAGTTGCAGATCTTGACAATATTGCACTCCGTAATTCTGAACAATCCGTAAGCAAATCCACAGCTACCACCTCTCGAGCTCTTAGCCAAGATAGGGCCTCCTTGCAAGCTAATGCCTCGGCCATGAGTGGTGAATGAGCGCTTGCAAGTCTGTCGTTCGTTGCCGCTAGGAATGCCCCCTCGTGCGAGATCATGATAGCTCCGTACGTGGCCTCTCCAGTTTGGTGCGTGTAGTTGGCATCGAAATAACATTTCGACCGTAGCTCGACCACACCGGCAGTTGGCGCGACATGTTGTCCCGGTTGCTGCGTGCGATGGTGTATCTGCCGGTACACCTGGTGAGCCACTGCCGCACGTCTCCATGTACGTTCCAGGCGTGGAAGGGCCCCCTCCACATAGCCATATTTCGGGCAGTCCATATGTGGTACAACACGGCTGCAACAAGGCCGCACTGCTCTTCTGTCAATACATCCAGAACCCCGGTAAGCCATATTGGTAATGGGTGTGTAACAATATTTGCAATAGGCAATCCAGAAATATTCCAAACAATTCTAGAATAATCACAAAATATGAGTGTATGCATAATATCTTCATGAATCAAACCACACATCGGGCATGCCGGGTCCACATTTACTCTCTTTATAAGCAAGTTATTAGTGGTGGGCAAAATATCACACACAGCTCTCCATAAAAATATTTTCCACTTGGGAGGCACTTTTAATTTCCATAATGTAACCCAATTTTCAAAACTCGTGGGTTATTCTCTACATTACCAACAATCTGCCTGTATGCATTTTAATTGTACCATAATGATAAATTCGACCTTTTAATTATTAGGTTGAACCCATTTAGTCCATGAAGTGCCTTTTTTTTTTTTTTTTTTTTTTTTTTTTTTTTTTTTTTTCCCCGAAAGAAATGAGGGGTAGACCTAGTTAGACTAATGCCCGACCCTCATAGCATTCACATTGAGCGTCATCTTCGCTATATCAACCTCAAGCTGTCCTATGACTTCCGTCGGAGGGTTAAAAAATTCAATCCAATCACAGTTTCTTCTTAGAGGAGCCTTGGCAAGGTAGCCAGCCACTTTGTTCTTGGTTCTCGGAACTGGAACAATCATGCCAAAAGAGAGTGTCGTGACCAGACCTAACCACTTTTTTGATACCTTGATTGAGAATTGGAATGGCTGTGCAAATTCCTCTCCATAAATTTGATCCTCCATGGTTCGATTTCACTCCAAGATTGATGTTATTGTTTTGCATGTATTTGAAAGCAATCGTTCGTGCCCAAAGTTGCTACTGCCCCTTTAGTAGGCGTCATCCCATCTTGGCCAAAAACGCCAAGTTCATTTCTTTTAATTTTCGGATTCCAAGTCCACCTTGGCTTCTATGCTTTGTGATTGTGTCCTAGTTGACCAAATGAGTACTTTGATTCCATAAGAATCCATGTATTTTCCTTTCGAGAGTGTCGCAAACCCCTTTCGGAACGAACATGGTTTGCATGGCATAGTAAGGGATTGTATTCAAGAAACTCTGTCCAATGATTCTTCTACCTGCGAGGGTAAGGTGCTTACCTTTCCATCCTTCCAATCTACTCTCCACTTTCTCCATAAGGGGTATAAAGAGGGAATTGGTGACACGACAATGCAAGGAAGGAACACCCAAATATCGTCCTAGATTATCAACCCTACCGATTCCTGCAGCCTGAGTGATCCTATTATCGTCTCACTCTCAACATTCTTAGAGAAGAAAATTTGTGACTTTTGAAGGCTAACCCGATGTCCAGACACTTGTTCAAATTTGTTCAGGCAAGATTTAATGACTCCAATTTGCTCTCCGGTCGCTTCTGCAGTCAAAACCATATCATCAGCAAATAAAATGTGAAAAGTTAAGGGCCATACCTGGATAATTTCACCGCTCTCCATCTTTTGGTAGCAACTTCCTCCTTGATCAAGTGACATAACCTTTCAATGCACAAGACAAAAAGATAATGTGACATTAGGTTACCTTGTCTTATGCCCCGCGTCAGGGTAATCCAGTCCAACTACTTACCTTTCCAAAGGATACCAAACCTAGGAGTTTCAACACAAGTCATAAGGATGCTGACCCAATGATGAGGAATACCAATCTCAGCAAGGGTCTCCCTAATAAACCTCCAAGAGAGTATGTCATAAGCCTTCTCGAGATCGATCTTTAAACTGATGTTGCCCACCCTATTTTATTTTAATGGAGTGAAGCATTTCTTGGTAAATAACGATATTGTCTAAAATCTAGCGACCAAGAACAAAACTGCTTTGTTTCTCACCAATAATGTCACCCAAAAACTGCTTGAGTGTATTAGTAATAACATTAGTGATGATTTTATAAATGACATCAAGCTAATAGGACGGAATTGGCTCACCCTTTCAGGCTGCTTAACCTGAGGAATGAGCGCTAAGAGACTATCGTTCCATCCTTCAAAAATAGTAGCAGTTTTAAAAAAATTCGTTACCATCTTGGTGATTTCTTTTCCCACAACCCCCCAAGCTTTCTAATAGAAGCCTGCATGGAAACCATCTGGAGCTTTGTAGGGATCCATGTCAAAAAGAGCTCCCTTCACTTCCTCCATCGTCACATCCCTGGAGAAAGTAGATATGTTAGAACTAGAAAGCTTAGGAAATATATTAAGAAAGTAACCAGGATGGGAGTTGCTAGTATCTTCTCGGAATATGTCCTTGAAATAATTAAGCACCATGCTTTCCATCAGATTATCATCACGAGTTCATTCATCATCCTCTTTGCACAGTCCCTTTCAAGTAAATTTAGGACCATTAAAGCCCAAATTGATGCGATGTTCCCTGTCAATCCAGTCCGTAAAGTCACGAATGCGTTGTTCATTAAAAGTAGTGGGGTTACTGACTTCATCCATACCCATAACGAAATTAAAATCGCCAATAGTAACCCACGGGAGGAAAATGTTGTTTCTATCGCCACCAAGTTCATCCTACAGGCCATATCTGAGTGCCTTAATTTGTTAATATCGCCACCAAGTTCATCCTACAGGCCATGTCTGAGTGCCTTAATTTGTTAAGGCTGACATAAACAATGGCAAGATTCTCGGGGTTGTTCGTACGATCACAATTTTCTAAGAGAATAAACTGGGGGTTAGTGTGATACCCCGTAATAATTTATCCCTGTATTATCTTCCATACTTATTTTCTAAGAAGGAATTTGTTCTCTTGTTGAGCCCAACTCTTTAATTGGAATAATTCCTAGAATATTTCTAAATCAAGCCAAATTATTTATATTAGTCCATATATATTATTTCTAAAACATTTAATTCTTAGTATTATGGGCTTTCTCCTTATCCTACATACTTATTTATTATTGGAACTATTTGGCCCAACACTCATTCTTGACTTTGTATAATTGTTATATATTGAACCAAACCCATCATTCACCCTAATACATACACATATGTATATATATCCTATCTTATTTATTCAAGACTTATCTTGTCTGGACAAAACACACTTTCTCTCTTCCCTATTTCTTCTTCTCCTTCACGCCACATTCTTCCCTTACCCATCAAAAACTCATCTTCATTCCATCTTCAAGAATCAAAGCAAGATTCATCTTTTATGGTTCTTTGAGAAAGATCATGGTAAGACTTCACATTTTCTTGCTTTGTCTTCTTTTGATTTGCAATCTTTATGAATCTCCTCTTTATTTCTATGGTGGGTTTTGGGTTTCTAGATGATCAAGGTGGAGATGATGCTAGGTTGATGTTTAGTATTTGAGGTTTGAGTTAGCTAAGCTTCAAGAGGT